CAAAGGGTAACATCCTATTTCCACTATTCTGTATCCCCCAGCAGAAGCTAACAAAGGCTACACTGAATTTCCTGTCCCAACTCCTTGCTGACTTGAACAGGCCTCTTGGAAATATCACCAATTGGGTGGGTATTTTTCATTTCTTCATAAGTGGGTGTACCTGACCACAAATTTTAAATGGACTGCACGTCAGCACTGGACGTATAGTAAATATCATGCGTAGTCTATCTTATAAACCATAGGATCCTATAGCACCTCACTAGCAGAAATCCTGTAAATCCATAAACACAAAATTGGCTGACAAAAGCCAGCCCTTGCTAGCCATTGGCCAAACGGCTATGAGCTTGTGAAATGCCCATCGCTCACGAACACTCCGGGAGAAAGCAGCTGACTTCAGATAAAGCCTGGATTGCCCAAAGCTCCTCTACTTAAAAACAAATAAATAAAATTGGAGCCTGGCAACAGATACTGCACACCTTTAAGATAAGGCTTGTTCTCCAGGAACATGAAGCGAACACATTTGCTTTATTTATTTGATTGGATTTCTAGACCACCTTGTTCCAAGGACAGGTAGCAATCTTGCATTTCACTGCACTTGCGGCGATAAAGCCTTGAAGCAGGATGGGCTTTGAGGAGGGGATTGCAGAGGGAGAGAGACAGCACATGCATCACGGAAGAGAGGAAAGGTGATCAGGAACTGGGAACTGCCAATCCATCAAGTACATTTGTATCCTGACCTTCCTCTAAGGACCTCAGGGTGGTATATATGAGTTCTCCCCCATTTTTTATATTCACAACAGCCCTGTAAGGTAGGTCATGCTAAACATGTCCGACTGGACCAAAGGCACCCAACAGGGTTTCATGGTAGTGCAGGGATTTGAACCTAGGCCTTCTACACTCAAGTCCACACTACACCTCACTGGCAGGAATCAGTAAATTTTTAGGAGATGGAAGGGATGGAGGCTAATATTTTTGGAGAAATAGGGAAAAGTGGGGTAAGAATCACATGCGTGTGAGAGAGGCTACTGCCAGCATGGAGGAAAATGTCTAGGGTTGCCAAGCCTCTTACCTGGAATAGCGGGGGAGACCCAGTCCCAGAGTTTTGCATGCACCCTGATGACGTCGCCCGGAAGTGATGTAATCACGCTGGGCAAGGCTCTAGCAATCGCCCTGAAAACTCTATGGTACCATAGAGTTATCAGGGTGATTGCTAGAGCGTTGCCCGGCGACGTGTCCAGCGTGATTACATCACTTCCAGGCGACGTCAACACGCTGGACACGTTGGCCTGATCTGGCAACTTTGGGGGCGGGGTTCCCCCCGCCAGCCAGATCGGGACCAGTGGATTGGGGACCCTTTTGGCGGGGTAATCCCCACCCCCCGGGGGGATTTAGCAGCCCTAAAAATGTCCCATGTTTGATGGAAGGGCATGAGATGCTGGTTTCAGACTTCTGGGACATTCACTGTTATTTACTTCATTTATACCCCCCTTTACTCCCAGTGGGGACCCAAACTGGCTCACAGTGTTTTTCCCTTCTTAATTTTATCCTCACAGCAACCCTGTTGTGAGACTGAAGGAGAGCGACTGGCCCAAGGTCCTCCATCAAGGCTCCATGGCAGAATATGGGGATTCAAAACTGGGTCTCCCCGATCCCAGCCTGGAGCTGCATCTTATCTTCACTACACAGTGAAGATGAAGAAAAAAAGAGTTATTTTTTTTATACCCTGCTTTTCCCCTACCCTAAGGAGCCTCAAAGCAGCGTACAATCTCTTTCTCTCCACACAACAAGCACCTTGTGAAGTAGGTGGGGCTGAGAGAGTTCTGAGAGAACTGTGACTGGCCCAAGGTCACCCCAGCAGGGTTCATGTGGAGAACGAGTGGGGAATCAACCCCCGTTCTCCAGATTAGAGTCCGCCGCTCTTAATCACTACACTACGCTGGCTCAAGGTCCTTGTGCACTGGCAGCAGCTACTGCCAAAGTAACCTTTTAAAAAACCTGCACAGCCAATCAAATCCCCAGTGGTGCCCTGACCTGGATAGCCCAGGCTAGCCTGACCTCGTCAGATTCCGGAAGCTAAGTGGGGCTGGCCCTGGCAAGTACTTGGAAGGGGGACCTCCAAAGAATACCAGGGCTGGGAGGCAGAGGCAGGCTATCAAGCCACTTCTTTGAACATCCTCCATGTCCCAGTAGGAGTCACCAGAGGTCGCCATGACTTCCAGGAACGGCCACACGCATACAATGCAAAAAAAAACCCTTCCGATGTGGCCAATCAGAAGCCTTGCGGGGGGAAAGCCCCACTTGTCTCCACCCTCTTCCTGAAAACACTTGTGGGAACCAGAAAAGGTGTCAGCAGGTGCCATGGTGCCCAGGGGCACGATGTTGGGGACCCCACAAAAGTCCATCCAGTCCACAGCGGCCCATTTCCAAAACTGGCCAGCCAGCCAGATGGCTCTGGGGTACCCACAACCAAGGCACGGCCCATTCCCCTTGTCTGTCTCCCACATCCTGTATTTACCGGTACGCTGCCTATCAGCACTGCTAAGGTTCTGCTAAGATAAGAACTACCTTTCTGGCTCAGAGGTCTGCTTTGGTTGAACAGTGGCCAACCAGTCACGTTGGGAAGCTCACAAAGGGGATGACTGTGCCCTGCGGATTCCTAGCATCTGGCTTTTAGAGACATTTGTCCAGAAAATCTATAGATTGCGCCTTCATTTCAAATGTTCTCAAAGAAACAAATTTCAAAATATCCTGCCTTGGTTCATGGAGGCTCAGTTCATCAATAGATGTAAGAACAGTGAAGCGTGCCAGCAGAACACGAAGGCGAGGATCATTCTCTTGCTGGTCTCTAACATCTTGTATGCCGAACTATGCCATATGCCATAACCACCCCTCTTAGAATACAGCTGGCAGAGGTCACAGGGTACATTCTTCAGAATCTTATCCAGCTTTCTCAAAACATATATACCCAGACCACTTAGGTGGAAGATTCTACATAAAAGCCCCAACCCATGGTTGCACTAGATATCAGCTGTTAAAAACCAGCTCCAACACTGAATTATGTCTATAGCTAACAAACAAAACCGTGCAGATCCTTTAAAAGGTGCCAAAGCAACTCACAAGGGGAAAAATTCATCTTTGAAGCAGGGTTTTGGATTCCAGTGAACAGAAGTGGTGGGGGGGGGGGGAGACGACACTGACAAGGTCAGAGGGAGAGGGACAGAAATCTTCAGACTGGGGACCTGCTGCTCTTTCTATCCTTTGCTATTACCCAATGTGTGGTACTAATAATTATGGTGACAAAAGAGTAAAGGCTTTCTTTCCTTTTTCCCAACACTCTCGGCAATGCTTGCCAAGGGATGAATGGGGCTAGTCTCATCTCTGTTCACCATTGTGTTCAGAAATGTCAGATGCTTCAAAATGCAGCAGTCAGGGTCTTCACGGGCGCCTGCCAATTGTACCACTTCTCACCAGGGATCAAAGATCATCACAGGCTATCAGCACAGTTCAAACTGCTGGCTCTTTCCTGTCTTCAAAGCCCTACCCAGTTCCAGACTGGGGGTTACCTGAAAGACTTTCTGCTTCCATAGGCATCTGCCAGGCCTTCAAAGCTTCCCCCCATCTTCAGAAGTGAGGTGTGGGGCTGACTATTGCTTAATGTTGACATTTTGTTGATGACTATTCAGCTGGTTTGTAATATTGGATTCTCAGGAATTTTGCATACTGTTTTGCAGTTATTGTAAGTTATACTTACTCTCAATAAACACTTTAAGATTAAAAGAAAGAAAGAAAAAAAGAAGAAGTGAGGTGTGGGGCTACTGAATACAGAGTGTTTATGGCTGCATCCAGAATTTGGGAATAATTCTCACTTTATTTTCCTGAAACTGGCTTAAAATATCATAATTAACTTCAGGCTTTGCGGTGGTATCTACTGTTGTTCGCATTTGTTCTAAAGGCTGAGACGTTCTGTTTGTACCATAATACGCTGCTCTGGATTATTGTTACCTGTGGCTGTAAAATTGTCTTGGAAAGCAGGATTAGCTGGAAAGATATGGGGTAAAAGTACCTTAATTAAAAAATGTAAACAAATATTTATAAGCCTGCTTTTCTCCCAGATAACTCAGACCCCAAATGAAAAGAGCATTCATGGAGGCAGGGTGTTATACTGGATTAATGCAGGATATCAAAGTGCAGCTATGTAAAGTGCAAGCCAACAGACTGGGAAAGGGGAAAGATGGAGTGAAACAGATAAGATTGGGAAAGGCACTTTTCTGGATAACACTGGGATGCAGAATGGGGAAGCTGTCCTTTAGTGAATTTTTGGTTGTATTGTTAGGCGAAGAGTCGGACTCGACTGTGCAACTGAACAACAACGATAACAAAATCGTTAGGCTGGCTGTTTTTTTAATCTTTAGGTACAGCTTGTGGTGCTGGAGGAGAGTTTTACGGATACCATGGACTGCCAAATAGACAAATCAAGCCTGAATTCCCCTGAGAAGCTAAACTGACTGAACTGAGCTATCATAATTTGGTCACATCATGAGTCACTAGAAAAGACTATAATGCTCGGAAAAGTTGAAGGCAGCAGGAAAAGAGGAAGACCCAACATGAGATGGATTGACTCCATCAAGGAAGCCACAAAGGCCCTCAGTTTGCAAGACCTGAGGCAAGGCTGTTACTGATAGGACGTTTTGGAGGTCATTAATCCACAGGGTCGCCATAAGTCAGAAGCAACTTGATGGCACAGAACACACACTGTTCGGCCAAGGGAAAGGTGAGTTATATTCATATTTAAATAAATATATATATTTATACAGATACACGTGAAATTAAAAACAAAAAAGGGAATGTAGCTTGCCTTGCTTCCACGAGCCATCTAAACACAGAACCTGCAGGATGCCCTCTTTACTGATTAAGGGAGGTCCCACTGGGGCCACCTTCAAATGCCCAAACAGGCCCTGCTGGATTCCATCTGGCTCCCTTGCTGACCTCTGGTCACTCACCTCTGGTGTGATTTCTATCTTCTCATAGCGGCGTTTGAACGGAAGGGTCAGCACCTCAGCTCGGTGGTAGGACATGGGTGGGGGCAGGCAATCGACCATCAAGTCCGTGCGATGGGACTGGGTTGGTGGGGGTTGGGTGTACTGCTCTGGACAAACCACATGAAGAGGCTAGCAAAAGAAAGTGGGAATATAGTCAGACAGACCTGGAAGCTATTTGGAAGCAATAAAATAATATACAGCACATATCAAAAGCTGGAAATGAAACAAGCTGCGGAAGAATCACAACTTTTACAGCTGCAAATGGAGAAAGCAAATCTGGTCCTACGGTTCCAGGGAGTTCCAGAATTAAAAGGTGAGAATCTGAAGCAACTGCTGATTGAAGCATTAGCCCCAGTTACAGATTTCAAAGTGGAATACATTTTTAGCGAAATGGATGTGGTCTACAGGTCCTACTCCATACACATCAAGAAGAATAATCTGCCTGGGGAAATAGTAGTCAGATTCTCGAAGAGGCATGTGAGGGATTTTATCCTGAAAGCAACTACTGGAACACCCTTGAAAATTGGGGACAATTCTATCAGGATTCTAAAAGATATCCCATTTGAAATAAGACAAAAGAGAAAGAAATACAAAGAATTAATCCTTTTTCTACAAACTAATGGCATTAGTTACAGATGGCTAATTCCAGAAGGCCTCATTTTCAAACTCCACGATAAAAAAGAAAAGATTGACTCTGTTTCCAAAGCACGTGAGTTCCTGAGAGTGCAGCTGGGGGAGCCAGCCGGGGACGAGAGGGAAGAAGATGACAGCAAATCTGATGGCGAATTGGACTTGGTGTCTTCCGACGAAAACTCTCTCTGAAAAGGGGGAGGCCGCCTCCAAAAGTTCATACAAATTGAGGATTAGAAAAGACAAGACAAAATAAAGGCTGAAGGACTCTGAATTGTGCCTGAAAACTTTACACTAACTATGGGATGCTCTGGGGGTTTTCTTAAACAGATAAATTGATGGATAAAAAGATAAATAATTTAGCATAACCGACTATGTTCAAAATAATACTAGCGATTAAGAATAACATTTGCATAAGCTGTTGTTATGATCTCCTATTCTTGGGGTTTTAGTTACTAGTGGTTTTCTTTCCTTTCTCCCTAGCTGTAGTTTCCCATCCCCAATTTTCTGTTATAGTTTGTAGTTTATTATTAAAAAAAAAAGCAAAACAAGAGGCATCTTCGGCCTGATCGACATATGCAGCAACAACAGCAAGTTAAATGTCTCACTGCAACTGAAGGCATGCCACTATACCCTACCGATTCCTTGCAATTTTTTTTTAAAACCCTAAAACATCTGGTAGGAGATTTCTAGTACAAACATCTCCTTGGGGTGCTAGGTTTCTAGTTTCATGGATTTTTTTAAAACATGGGAAGCATTCATACGTGACACCCAAGCTGCAGAATCAACTCAACCACCATTAGAATCGATCTCACTTGTATCTCACTATTCTTCCTGGGAGCATGGGGGAAGTTCACTTGGCTCTCTGCTCCTCCGTTTTTTCCTTGCGACAAGCTAGGTCAGTTACACTGCGAGACAGTGACTGGTCCAAGGCCACCCAATGAGTTTCTTCGCTGCAGAGACCTAAACCTGGGTCTCCCTAGTCCTACTCTGAGACACTAACCACTGCACCATGCCAGCTCTCCTTCCACCTCATTACCACCACTCATCCTGCTGCACATGAACAACAAGCCTTCCAACAGCTCCGTTCCAGTGGGCTTGTATTGCTGATGGGGTTGGGGCTGAGTGAATACTAGCATGCCTCAGAGCCTTCAGCCAGTTTATGGCAGAGGTGAGATTTGGACCACTGATTCCCTGGACTCACAGCTCACAAGGGCAGACACTAGATCTTGCCAGAAATTCTTCACACAAACAGGGTTCCCTCTCCTGGGCAAAACCTGACATTGCAGGGAGGCACTAGTGATGCATCTGGAGCAAGCTCATAAAATTCAGCAAAACTCATACTGTGTTGTGATGTCAAAATGCTTTGTCTTTTCCTGTCTCTGCTAGCCAATGACGTGGAAAAAGAACAGGAAAATCCACAGCCATCAATGAAAGAAGGTAGCACATAGAAAAAGTGATGGAGGCAGAGAAGATACATGGCTGCCTTTTTTGAGTAACAGTCATACGTTTAGGGTAAGGTCTAGTTTGGGCCTTATGTTAAGGACAGTACGAGGATGCTTCCTCTAATTACCTGTACTTCCTTGAGTAACTTGGACACCTGGATGAAATTCAACCTGGTGTCTATGGGACAATAAACACACTTCATCGCCAGGGGCTGATAAGGTCCTAGCGCATCCAAGTAGGAGAAGTCAGGCTCTGCAAAGAGAAGGGAGGGAGGGGAGGGGAAAAAAGTCAGGTGGCACTGGTTGCCTTTTAAGTGCAGGCTGCAAACCAGAGCTACTCCAAGTTACATGTGATGCATGAATGCAATCTAAGAAAACAAACATTTTACACTGATTTGGTAAGCCGGGAGTCTGTGTGTATATATTTTCTTCATTTTATAGGTATCCCTGAGGAAGCGTTCTAACTCTCAAAACATGTTGGGCTCTTTCTAATACCTTGAACATAAACATAAGAACCTAAGAAGAGCCCCACTGAATCAGACCACTGGCTCCTTCTCGTTCAGCATCCTGTATTACACAGTGGCCAACCAGTTCCTCTGGAGGGCCAACAACAGGGCATAGAGGCCGAGGCCTTCCCTTGATGTTGCCTCCTGACTCTGGGACTCAGAGGTTTAGTGCTTCTGAATGTGCAGGTTCCCCTCAGTCACCATGGCTAGCAGCCACTGAGAGACCTATCCGCCATGAACCTATCCAATCCCCCTTTCAAATCTGTTTATTCCTGTGGCCATCACTACATCCTCTGGCAGCGAATTCCACCCCCACCCACCCATGACTTACTTGCAAGTAAACTTTCCCAGGATGCAGCTGCAAGGCTCTCCCCTGCTGTTACAGATCTGAAGCTCTTCCTCTCTTTGGCAATTCAGAAAGTTCTCCCCCCCCCCCATTAGAAGAGCCTTTCTTCTTTTAGGCCCCCTCCTTGCTTGGCCTCTCTAGCAAACAGCTCTCTAGCAAACAGCTTGTTCCAAGCACACTTTTGAGGACTCCTCTGCATCTGCTTGTTTGTTTTTTAATTCCCCTCTTCTTCCAAGGAGCTTGGGCTTCTCCTTACATAGTTTCTCCACATTTTTTATCTTCACAATGACTCTAGGCTGGAGAAGAGTGGCTAGCAAGAGGTAACACAATGAGCTGGTGGGCCTGACAAGAGTTTTCCTATTCTGCTTTTTTCACAAAAGTCTACATGCACACTGACATTCGGAAACATTAATTCAGCTACAGAATATGATGTCTGTTTCGGAATTCCGTTCCTGCCCTCTCAATAGTTCATATCCTCTGGTGACGTCTCACAATTATCAAAGGAGATTTTCAATAATCATACCAGCTGTAATGTGTAGTAGAACCTGCCATGGGCTAAGATGATTGCCCATGATGGGCTAAGATGATTGCCCATGGCAGGTTCTACTATACATCTTCTTTGATCATTGTGAGACGTCACCAGAGGATATGAACTATTGAGAGACAGTTTTTGTCCCACATCTTTGTTCAGAAGATCTTCCTTCGAAACGGCAAGATATTCCGGAGATCACCGTCAATATATATAGTTTTCTATGATTATGTATATATTTTTTTTCCACTTTTCTACGATTCTTTAAAGACATATATTAAGCGTCACTTTCTCACAGTTTTTCTTGTTCTCTGGGGTATCTCATTACTGTGCCAATCAATTGTTATTACAACTGTTTTTTGAGTCTGAGATGCCCCACAGAAACGTTACTTGGGATTCCAGCCTTTGTCTGGAGAGTTAAGAAACCTTGTCTCAGAGTATCCTGACGCCTACCTGTTGTCTATCCAGCCACCTACAGCCTTTTCAGAGCAGGACTTTCTGCTTCTCTTTTCTCCTGCAGCCCACTGAGTGCAGCAAAACTTTGTTGCTGAGGGGTCAGTAGGCCCCTCAGTAACAGCACAGGGGATAGAGGGGAGGGTCTGTAGTGGATGGGATGGCTCGGCAGAAACAGCTGCCCGTAGTTTTTTCAGACAGAGATACTGTTCTGTAGGAGGGACTGCATGGTTGGATACAGGCCATCAATTGCATAGTCTCTCTAAACAAATAGCACACTGATGAAATAGAGTGCGTATGGGCCAGTCACAGTTGTGGGTGCAACGCCCCTTTAACAGGCTAAAAATCCCATTAGTCAGCTATTTGACAGAGGAGCAGATGGGTGTGTGTGTGTGTGTTCCAAATCCAGCCTCTTCACCCCACCCCACCCCTGCCAATTGCCAGAATTGTAGATCTATAAGTTTCTCACATGCACCTGGTTGCTGGATGGGAAAGAGGAACTGTACATTAAATGCTTAATTGTAAGTACAATTTCCCATCCAGATAGAGATGCAAATACAGAAGCCTCCTTCGGAACCTAAGAAGCAGCTCTGCCAGACCATGCCAGTGGTCCATCTGGTCCAGCATCTTCTTTCATGCAGTGGCCAGCCAGGTGCTGCTGGAAGACCTGCAAGCAGGCCAGAGTAGCTGAAGCCTACCCCCTGCTGTTGTTCCCTCTTAGCACTTGCATTCTGGGTGGTTTCTGCCTCTCTGAACACGGAGATTCCCTTTAGTCATTGTATCTAAGAGCCACGGATTACCCTTTGGTGCAAACAGTGCCCCTAAATGAGTCTAAGGCAGAGACACCCAAACCTTGGAATGAACCTTTCTTGCTCACTTTTTAAAACCCTCTGGTTATTTCCAAGTTAAATGGATGAAAATTATACCCACAATTAAGCCTCATCACAATCAAGTGGGGTGGGGGGGCGGAAAAATGGCAATCCATTCGGTAAGATTAGTGCCCAATCATTCTTTCCTATTGCAAATTTAATCAAGAGTGAGAGAGGGCAAAAAAATCCATCTCTTGCTTTTAATCAAATCTTCTATAAATTTTAAAAAAACCTGATAGCATAAAAAGCAGCCTAAATATGACCTAAGGCCAGAATCAGGCTTGGGATGTTTCATTTTGAAGGAGGGAAATTAAATTTTGACAAGATAATAGACTTCAAATATGTTTTTCTATTAAATGGGGTTTGGAATAAAGTCTGGTGTTTTTTAAAAAATGGCTACATGAAATCGAACGGGAAGCATAATGTTTGAGTATGAAGGGGTCACTTCTAATATGGGGGGACTCCTGCGACTCCATGGCTCCTCTTCTATGCTGTGGAGGTAACACTGGAACCCTCGGTTATGTGGGAGGAGTCTACAACATAGCTCCTCCCCATGCCAGTGCTGTAACAACTTCCTGGTATGGAAGCAGCAATACCGTGGATTTCTCAAATATGTTCCAGGGTTTGCGACATGAGAAGGAGACATACCACAGTGGCTCCTCTGCCACTGGTGTTAACTTTCGAAGGAGGTCCTCATCAAAGAGGGGGGAGATCCACATTGTTCAGACAGGAGCGCAAACACAGCATAAATATGAGTTTATTAAAACCTACACAACAGGAAAGATTCCAGCTGCAATCCTAAAAACCCTCTCCTGGAGTAAGCCCACTAAATGAAACGGATGTAACCTCCAAGTGGACCTGCTTAGGACTTCCCCTTACCATTTATTTAATTTGTTTAGAGAAAATATCCCTCAGCTCACCAAAATCTGCTTGAGGCAGCTTTACACTGATAGGAGTGGCCTACACATTCATTTGTCACGTGGGTGGTACGTTTTGCTTTACAGATAGCCCTGCATCTGCTTTACATGCTGAAGGTCCCATATTCAATTTTTGGCATCTCCAGCTAAAAGGACCAGGTAGAAGGTGATGTGCAAGACAACAATGACTTTGATCAACCAACAGTCTGACTCAGGAGTCCTGTGCAGACAACCCACCTGTGCACCGACCTGCACAGGGAGGGAGAGGGGGCACCAGCTAACCGGTTCCACCACTGTGCAACTGCAGAGTCGCCTGCAGGGTGCAAACCCAAGGAGGAGGAAGAGGAGGAGATTGGATTTATACTCCGCCCTTCACTACCCGAAGGCGTCTCAGAGCGGCTTACAATCTCCTGTCCCCTCCCCTCCCCACATCAGACACCCTGTGAGGTAGGTGGGGCTGAGAGAACTCTCTCGAGAACTGCCCTGAAGAGAACAGCTCTGAAAGAACTGGTGACTGACCCAAGGTCACACCAGCAGGTGCATGCGAAAGAGTGGGGAATCAAATGTAGTTCTCCCGGATTAGAGTCCGTGCTCCTGACCACTACACCAAAGTGCCTGCACGTATGCTCCCCTCCCCACGATCAGTGATGCTGCTTTCTGAATGTTGCTGATCACGGGGAAGGGGCGGCAGCATGCCTGTGGGAACTCCCACTCCCACGTTCACACCGTGCAGATTACTTGGCGATCATGTGGAGGTGGAGGAGGGACTGCCGTGCTCATGCTGCCATTTCCACAGGGCTACAATAAGGCAAGTTCATGTGTTGCTGTGTGCTTGGAACATGCTGAGTTTTATGAAACTGTTCTGGGTGCACCTTGGAGGTTTCCTCTCTATTACTTTTTTGAAAATCCCTCCTTTCCTCCAAGCAGCTCAGGGTGGCATACCTACAGCCCTCCTCTCACTGACTGACTTGTCACAACAACTTGCTAAGTAGTTGAGGCTGAAACAAAGCAACTGGCCCAAGATCACACAGCAATCCTAAGAAGTCTTCTTCAGAATGCTACCCAAGTGGGACTTACTCCCAGTAAAGTGTTCTTAGGATGGAACTGACAGTGAGTCTCATCCTGATTCCCCCAGTCCTGGTCTACCACTCTGGCCACTACACCACATCGGCTGCTTGCTGTTGAAAACAGGATGATACACACTGGGGCCTTAAAAACAACCAAGAGTAGAAGGGAATATTGAGATATATGTCAGAGTGATAGAGGTAGCAAGCAGTTACTATAGATCAGTTTGATCTGTTTGTCAGACCTAGCTGTCAAGCTAGTAATCATGTAATTACAGCCAGGTGTTTTCTAGCAGGTGTTACTCTTTCAGGGCTTGTTAGAGTTAGTGATTGCATCACCCTGTTAGAGATTGGCTGGAGTTTAGCATAAAAGCTATCAGCTTAGTAAACTGGATGGGGGACTTAGTTCTCATAGACTAAGGCACGACATGCTGTACGATAGCCTGTAAATATCTCTGTATATATTCACCTTCATAACTATATAAACTCTCTGCGCACCTTCATAACTGGTCAGTCTCCCACTTCTTATTTACAACACCCAATAGGGAACTGAGGAGGGTGACCAGGTGCTTGGCCCAGGTACTGACAGAAAAGTTCACTGTTGCAGACTTGGTGCTCACCTCTCAGGGGTCTGCCTAAAGAATACACACAAAGCACAAACCCGGAGCAGGAAGCAATTGTGAATTCATTGCGTTTTGAGGTCAACCTAACCAGGCAAAGGCTTTCAGCAACTTCTCAAATTCTATGCAACTTCACAGTCCACATATTGGTTTGTGGACGGTGAGTAGACAGAGAATTATGACAGAGAGGTGAAAATAATACGGTCTGTAAACCCCCAGTCAAATCAATCTATACTTTCTTTCTTTTTTTTGCCTCCACAGTTGTTTTCTTGAGAAACATTGCCTGAAACAGCAGACTAATTTCCCTCGGGAGCAGAAACCTAGGAAGCTCTCTGATCAGGACTCCAATCTTCCTTTCCCCTCAGGCACCCGCAAACCCTTACCTGTAAATATCACCGTGTTGAGGCTGGATTTCCCCCACAGCTCCATGAAGTGCACCACATCCCCAAACCGAAGGGAAGGGTGGCCTGTGAACACCACGCAAGGCTGCTTGAAGTCGTTGCTGAAGTCTCCGTGGATGCTGGGGTAATGTTTCAACTTGTTCGTCTGGATGAGCTGGGTAAAAATAATTGTTGTTCTCAATCAAAGATATGTACTTCAGTAAGTATTCAAAAGACATACTACGTCAACACTACTTAAGATGTACAATACAGTATATGCTAAAAAGTAATGTGAAACCAAGCTCTTAAAATGTGCATTAGAAAAATTTATTTCTCATAAGCGTTCTGAATTTCTGTGCTATCCATATCATGTATTTTTGGTAATGCACAAATAGACTTTCTTTCCCAAAAGTCACAGTCTTTTAGATTGCCTTCTAATTATACATTAACTAGCCACTGGTAAAAAACTATAATGCTAGGAAAAGTTGAAGGCAGAGGGAAAAGAGGAAGACCCAACACGAGATGGATTGACTCCATCAAGGAAGCCACGCCCTTAGTTTGCAAGACCTCAGCAAGGCTGTTAACGATAGGACCTTTTGGAGGTCATTCATTCATAGGGTTGCCTGAAGTCAGAAGAGACTTGGTGGCAATTAACCAACACACGCAGCCCAATGCTCATCATTATGACAAGAGGGTGGAGTGGTGACTTGTATATTGCAAGGACATGGCAGGGGGAGGCAGTGCCTCATTGCATCCTCATCTGGGGGTCCCTATCAGGAAAGTATGGGGGTTGGAGTGTTTCCCAGTGCTTTACTGCTTTACCTTTCTCCTTTGAGTAAATGGTAGCCATTTACTTCTATAAGGAACAGTACATTTGGGAATCCATCACTGGATGGAGTCAGGAAGCAATTTTTCTCCAGGTCAGTTTGGCTGGAAATCCTGGAGGTTTTTTGTCATCTTCAGGGCATGGAACAGCAGTCACTGGGGGTGGGGAGTGGGAGGTATTTGTGAATTTCCTGCATTGTGCAGAGGGCTGGACTAGATGACCCTGGAGGTGCCTCCCAACTCTATGATTCTAATACACAACCTCTCCCCCTACTTCTGCTTTGCTCTCTCGTCTCTGTTCCTCTGCAAGCTGTTTAAATTCATCACACGATACTGAATGAGCACTACTGAGAATAGAACCACTCCCTTTGCATAGCTCAGCCCTTGTATTTGCATACACCTACCCTGAGGGTTGTTGTTGTTTTTTTTAAATGATGTGATGCTAGAGGAACCCTGGAGGGAGGGTTCACTTCTATGGCTAACGTTCTAAGGCATTGTCATTGCGGTAATCACCTCCTTCATCCTGATGATGCCATGACCTGTGAGATCTTGGAAGCTAAGCAGGGTCGCCCCTGCCTAGTATTTGGAAGGGAAACTTCCAAGAAATACCAGGGCTGCGACGCAGAGGCAGGCAATGGCAAAACCACCTCTGAAACGTCTCTTGCCTTAAAAACAAGTCCAGCACACCACCTAGTGGTGCATAATGCTAAAAGAGCTTGAACTTCTGGCTGCCAGACAACCTTAGGATCTTCTGGCTATACTACACACACTGCCAGACCAGCACTACCACCATCCTAATGACAGCTCTAAGAGGCAGACCACCAATACCCCCATTTTACAGACAGGAGACTGGGGCTCATAGCGCTTGCCTCACCAACTCCTATCTGCCCGGTCCAACTCAAATCTTCTCTTAACTGCCCTGCCCTGTCTGCCTTTCATCAACTGGGCCTCAGCTACTTGGGATCGGTAAGAAAGGCCACTGTGCCCTCCCCTTTCTACAAGAGAGCTATTCATAATCCCCACTCTACTTTCTACTGTGGAATCTAAATACACACAATATGCTCTGCAAATTAATGAGCACCCACTCTTCCAAATTCTCCTGTAATTCAGCCTGGTGAAGATCTCCAGTTGGAGCAGCTTTTGGCATTTATGCATTTCCTTCAGCAGCAAGAGCTGGCTGCTTGGAAGGTAACACGCTAGACAAGTAATGTTCTGCAGAATATGAAATCCAGCTTCTGGGTGGTGGGGGAAGAGTCAGAAATCTCAGCAGTGCTTATGAGCCTTACTAAAATCAATAGAAATGGCAGAACCTGTTTTAGTGGAACTCAATACAGGAAAGAGGGTCTTATGGGATGGATGGACCTCAGCAGGGTATAGTGCCATAGAGTCCACCCTCCAAAGCATACATTTTCTCCTGGGGAACTGATCTTCGTCATCAGGAGATCAATTATAATAGTGGGAGATCTCCAGGGGCCAAGTGGAAGTTGGCAACCCTATCTGCAAGGCAAGGCTTTCTCTTTATATGCACCCCCTGTGGCTGTGCCCAGGAGTGTTTTGTTGTGTTTGAGTTATGGGTTCTAATTCTGTCTCCCATGTTTATTCTGGGCTTGCCCTTTAGGAGGGGGGGGCAGCTCTAAGAACCCATGCTCTGAGCACAGAAGGTCCCAGGTTTAATCACTGCTAATAAAACAAAAAAAATTAGGTACTATTGGGGGGGGGGCAATCTGTCTCAGATCCTGGAGATTTGATGTCAACCAGAGTAAACAATATCGAGTTAGCTGGACTAGTTATCGGATTTGGCACATGGCAGGTTCAGATGTTCCCTTACATGTGTCTCTTAGATCCTGAGAGTCTTGATTAAAATCCTGTAGACCCTAGCACTACCCTTTTGGCAAACTGGACAATATTTGTGGTTTCTTTCTGTCCGTTACACCCTTTCAATGATTTTTAAAAGAGACACATTTTAATTATTTAACTCAGGATATGTAGGTAAGAAATTAAACTCATTTCCAAGCACCCAGAATTCCGGAGAGCTAAGCGATGTTGAAACCAGACCTTGGAGGAAACACCCTCCACCCACAACCAACAATACATTATATTTATGGAAAGATAAGAAACAGCTTCAAGGACATCTCCCTGCAGAGGGAAGGTTCTTTATTGACCAAAAACTCCAGGGGCTGAAGATGGTTAAAAGCTACTTCAAACCTAAATTCCAGTGTGAAAACAAAAGATGGCCTCCAATGGATTCCTCTCCCTTTAAAAGAAGGAAGATGAGCTTTAGAAGGTCAATAAGCAAGCCTGTAAAGCTGAATAAATCTATGCAGTCTTCTGTTCAGCGAGGTCAGAAAAGACTACAATCTATTCTGTGTGGGCTTGCGCATCCGGAATTTCCAAGCCAGCTATGCATCCGTTTGAAAATCAATACAGAAGCAGGTGCGGCATGTCTTGCATTCACCACCTTTGCCCGTTCAGCCTGCAGTGACCTAAAAAGCACCTTGCTTTGGAATATTCTGTTCCACCAGCTCACATGAGTCTAAGCACGCATTGCTTTAGATATACTAGGCGGGAGGTGATAGGTGAAGGCAGGGGGCAGAGCGGAAGGCTGTTGGTTTTCATCACTTCGGCCTGTAAGGCAGACATCCTAAGAAGCTCCAGTTCAGCTGAGATAGCCATGGACATGGCTTATTGCCATCCTTCCAAACACTTCTCATACCTATCTCCGTGTGTGGAGCACCATTAAGGATTCATGGTTTGCAACACACTGCAGTTCCCCATGCCAAACGAATGCAGGCACCCACAAATCCTTCAATGTACTAGGCCCAAGTGGACAGGAACATAGCGGAAGTCCAGCAATAACCTGTGCATGTGTGAATCTTGGCTAAACCAGAGGTTGTTGTGAATGCAGCCCTAAACCTCTATCTCAGTAAACAGAACTGGTGGTGGTGGGGAAAACCCTTCAATGAAGTTTTAGTTGTTTCCGTCAGCATCTTTGTGGCAGCTCCTTGGGAAAAGTTCAGTTTGGGCCCAGGTAGTTCAAAACAATGCAATGAACATGAAATTAAGCAAACTCCGGAGGACGGTGGAAGACAGGAGGGCCTGGCGTGATGTGGTCCATGGGGTCGCAAAGAGTTGGACCCGACTGTGCGACTGAATAACAACAATAACAGTTCAAAACAATAATACAATGTTAACCTGAATAATGGCTGAGTATATTCTGCAATGAAGTGCAAATGTAAAATAAACAAGGTAATGGGTCCAGAAAGAAGAACCCTGGGAATCTCAGATTCCCTTTAAAATAAAACAAAACTTCTAGTCCTCAAGGCTGCAAACAAAGATGAGTTCAAACTGTGTGGATAATTCAACATGGTGTAACAGTTAAAGTGCTGGACTAGGATCTGGGAAACCCAGGTTTGAATCACCACTCTGCAATGGAAGCTGGCTGGATGACCTTAGGCAAGTCACATTCTCTCAGCCTAACCTACCTCACAGGGCTGTTGTGAGGATAAAATGGAGGAGAGGAGAATGAGGTAAGCCACTTGGAGTCCCTACTGAGGAGAAAGGTGGGATATAAATAAAGTAAATAAATAATTCAGGAAAACAAAGAGAAGCTGAAGAGGATATTCACTGCTGCTTTTGTGGTAAGTCCTTTGCAAGTTCACTCAAATACTGCTCACCCTCTTCTGTTTATTCTTCTTTAGTAAAAGTGTTAGATCTTTTACTAAACATTCAAGTGTTTCCCATTTCCTGCCCTGGTACTTTCTATTGCTTTGGAGGTGTTCTTTTAGGTATCGTGATGCAATGTCTTTCCCCATCTCCCTCAACCCCAGCTGGTAAACGTATCAGCTCCAAGCATTCTCTCGAGGAGCCAGTGTGTTAGAACAGATAAAGTAGTGGACAAAGATCTGGGAGACCCAGGTTAAAATAATCACTCCGTAGTGAAGCTTGCTGGGTGATTTTTGTTAACTACACTCTCTTAGCCTAACTTACCTCAGAGGATAACATGAGGAAGGGAGAACACTCTAGGCTAGTGGTGTCAAACTCATTTGTTACGAGGGCCACATCTGACATAAATGTCACTGTGTCGGGCGGAGACATGTGTGCCATAAAATGCAATGTCAGTTACTGGAAACAGAAATTGTATAAAGGACAGCAGCTGGTAAGCTCTGAATTGATGTATCATCACTGCAAGGCCCCATGGGCTGGGAGAGGGGTGCAGAGGAAACCCACATAGGTGGACTGGAGAGACAGCTGGAGTGGCAGATGCTCCCACAGTGCTGGACTGCTGCAGACGAGGTTGTTCTGCCGTGCTGAAGCCACAGTGGAGTGGCTCCCCCCCACTCCCCCCCAACATCCCCTCCCTTGCATCAGTTGCTCACGGGCCGCGTAAGAGCACCAAATGGGCCGGTTCCGGCCCCTGGGCCTTATGTTTGACACCCCTGCTCTATGCTACCCTGCGCTCCATGGAGGAGGGATAAAAATGTACTAGAATCAATATAAGAATTATTACTCATGTAGACCCATCTTTACAGAATACTCTAAGCAAGAAGAGTAGTCCCTGCCCTAAGAAGCTTACAGTCTAGACCGGGATGAATGGGAAGTACTACACAGGAAATGGAGGAAGGAAAAGTACTGGTGAATATCAGCCAAAAATAGTTACATGTATTTAGCCTTTGTTTTGATGCAGGGTTGGGGGGGGGGGAATTAGCTCTGAGTTTGAGGGGGCCAAATGAGTACCACCTTCTTAGTGGGGGCACCAACATTTTCCCAGTTCCTCCCACAGGAGACCAAAAACATTGCTTATAAAAGCCCAGAGTAAATACAAGAAGGGGAACCCACGATACTCATGGGGGGGGGGAGACGCTCCACGGGAGAAGCAGCCGCAGGTGAGCCTTCTCCCCTGTCCTCGGCACCCACGGCGAGGCCTGACCTCGGCCCGCCAAGCTTCCCTCTCCCTTAGCAGTGGCGGTGGTGGCGCCTCGCTGGCCCGCCAAACTTCCCTCCCCCAGTGGCGGCAGTGCATCGCCAGCCCGCCGAGCTTTCCCCCTTCGGTGGTGCCGGCAAGGCCTCGGCGGCCCGCCAAACTTTCTCCTTCCCTCCCTCCCTCCGGTGGCGAGGCCTCGTTGGCCCGCCAAACTTTCTCGTTCCTCCCCCGCCCGCAGCATGCACAGGGGATGCTCTTTTACTTTTGGGGGGATTTCAGTATCCCCCCTATAGTTTTTTACAGTTTTTAGATTTTTCTGCATATCTGGGGATCGCCCCAGATGTGCAGGAAAATCTCCCTGCCCCCGATGTGCGGATTTAGATATCTGCACGCAGGGGGCGTCTTCGCTATTAGATATATAGATTTCAGAATGCCTTTTAGGTTGCTGGTGTCACTAGACTAGGTTAAATGGATTTGCTCCTGCTGTTTAGTTTGATGTTGTTTTGTCTGCATAGTTAAATTTCTGTTTTAAAAAAACCTGAGATAGTCATTTTGCGGTAATAATTAGATGTCATGAACCACATAGCTTGATTTAAGACAGAGGTGGGGAAAAGTAAACAAACAACCTTGTTTTCTAAAACCTAAATTCATTCTGGCATGGCAAGCACATGACTGAAGCAGCTTTAGGTATTCTGTTCTGTGGGGAAAAAATAACGAAACAGTCTATCAGGCCTTTGGTAGTATTCTCTTACCTCAGCATGAGGAAATGGTGGTTCGGGCAGGTACACTTTTGTCTGCTTGTTATGACACAGCCTTATACAAAAAAAATTGGTGGAGTGGGAGAAGAGAAGAGAGAAAAAAAAGCACAAAACAAACTAGAATTACAGGCCTGTATGATAACAACAATGCAGTTAACTGCTGCCACCTACTGTTCAGATAACCCAATCAGACTGAGAAATTCTGTCACTGGAGGTAATCTACCATTACAGTACATTCTGGGGCCTTACTTAAGATGTGGAGATCAAAAGTTGACCGGGGCCCACTGCAGAGGCCTTTTCTCTTGTGCCCACTTCTGGAATTACCTCAAAATTTCTCCCCTTTATCCAGCCCCTTTAGTATTTCACAGGTGCTTAGAAGCATCCCTAGCTTTTAAATGGATTTGATGTTTATTCCTCTTGCACTATGAGGGCAAAAAGTGCTACTAAACATGGCAACTAAGTTTTGCATGGTCCCTCCTCTCTTAATATGTAGAAGACCTACACAAGTCGCTGGCAAGGGCAGGGAGCTGCTGTTTTCAGCGGCAGCCCTGTATTGAGCATTATATCTAATTCTATTCTTAGTATTTGACATATAGTTTCCAGTATGTTGTCGAAGGCTTTCACGGCTGGAGTTCATTAGCTGTTGTAGATTTTCCGGGTTGCATGGCCGTGGTCTTGGACCGCCAAGACCATGGCCGTACAACCTGGAAAATCCAGAACAGCTAAAGTTTCAAGTATGCTTGTTCCGATGTTCTCACCTTTTTCCATATTGTTGTACTAAAGTTCTGGCAGATGGAGAAATGCAAATATTCTATTATTACCTATATGGGGTTTGGGGGGGGGGGGGGGGAGAGGTAGGAAAAAGAGAGAGAGACTTCAGACCAAACTCATAAATTGATCTGGTACACTGATTCCACAAAAAAGAAAAGAATAGAAAAAAAGAAGCTGCTGCTGCTGGCTGGCTGGGCGGTCAAGATCTGTACATTCATGGGGATGCAAATTGTCTTCTTGTGATGGAAAAATATGCACACACCTCTTATCTCTGAGGCTCTACTTATGGAATACTATTCCCCTCGGAGAGGAAAATGATCACGCAACTCAGGATTTTACATGATACGGATTCCACAGGAAACCCCCCCCCCCCCCGTCACCTATCCACCCACACCTTGCACTGCATTATACATGAGGTGAAGAGGGTGTCCGTGCTTTTGTCGCCATCAGGGCCAGCTTGGTAATTATATGAACTGCACAGGGTGGACATCATTCATGACTGAGGGTCAAGTTCTGTCCCACAAGCCTTCCCCCCAACACCACTGGAGTACACTTATCTCTGTAGCGATGGGCCACCGCCACCACCACTACCCCACCACTCCTATACAGCCCGTGGATACTTGCCATTCAGCAAAGATCTGGGAAAACTCAAGTGAGCTGTTGGCGACAGGGGAGATGAAGTAGAAGGGGACGTTGGAGAGGCCCGCAGAGTCGATATACTGGTACAGACATTCCAGAAGGTCATAGATCACTCCAGAGGGGTAGCAGGGAACCAGCACATTCCCCCCATTCCGAACTGTCATAGCTTAACAAAGATAAAGGGGGAAGGGAACAGAAATAATATAATAAATAAAACATAATAAAGGACATAACAACTACTTGAAGGGCACAGACAAAGACGCATCCAGTCTATCAGTCCTTCTCTAATAGTGACCCACAAGATGTCCAAGGAAGCTCTCAAGAGGGGCACAATGAAGATAACCCACCTCTGTGACTTTTCCCCACAGGTATACTGTCTCTGAACATGGAGGTTCCAGTTTTGTATTTCATCAACTGGTTATGATATAAAGTAGAAGTTACTAAGAGCCGTGTAAGCCTCTGTATTCATAGTGGAACAATAAATCCCACACGTAGGATGATCAAGCATTTTCTTTGCATTTACTCTCCCTGGACAGCTCATTATAAACTTCTAACATCCGAATGATAATTTCTGGTGTTCATTTATCCATTTTAGCACACAAAGCATTTCACACACAATATTTTCTTGCAATCCTTACAACAGCCCTATAAGGTAGGTCAGCATTATTATACTCATATTGTATTGGGGGGAGGTGCCATGGCCAAGAGAGAGGGTGGCTTGCTTACGTCCTACTGAATCTGTGGCAGAGGTGAGATTTGAACCAAGGGCCACACAGCTGGGACACTATGCTACACTAGCTTCCTAGCCATATTCCTCTCTGCCATCTTTCTGCCTCCCACACTCTTGTACCCCTTTCTCCGGTGTCATACTTGGAATCCTGGACCAGGGTGTGGGAGACCCAGTTTCACATTCTCCTGCAAAGCTCAATAGATGACCTTGGGCCACTCACACACTCCCAGCCTGCCTCCCTACCTCAACAGGGTCGTTGTGATAATAAAAGAGAACTCTGCATGCTGTCCTGAGCAATTTGGGAGGAATGGCAGGATTTTTTAAAAAATGGGCAAAATGCTCCAGCCCCCTAGCTATTTTAGCCGTCATTCCCTTACCTTCTCAGCCTTTACTATGCAATTTTTACAATCACTGACCAGAACGTCACACTGAATTATAAATGAGAACACAGCACAGATTTTGCATTCTATTTTTATTGGCATTCTGCTATTTTTATAGCCATTTTTCTTTCCTCCCGGTGAATCTGCCCTTTCCCACTCCTCCAGCATGCTGTGCACACATTTGCTGCAAGACTTCTAGATTCTGGGCAGCGTTTCAGCTCTGTTTAGCATGGCAGCATCCGGGGTTCTTGCTTGTACCTCTGGCTCAACAGGCAAGCAGCAGGACATAGGAAACAAGGGATCTTTCCTTGCAGGGTCTAAGTACCCTTCCTGCCACACTCAGCACTCTAGAGCACTCTTTTCACCCTCTCTCCTGCCAGTCAAATCACAAGACGGGGGTTATGCAACTGAGACCCCTCTGGGGGACACTTTTACAGTTGTGTTCATTCAAGATGCCAATTACCACCATGTCAAAAAAATGTGAACACAGTGCATTTCAACAGCTAACCCTTTTTTTGTCCACTTAACCCTTCCCTTTCCCCCTCCATCTCCTGTAACTATAGCCTTGCTCACCAGTTACAGCGAATGGACACACAATCTGTGTACAGCACACATTTGATTGTACTTCATACATTCATTGAGTAATTCTCATGTTTCGTTCAATGCGTGTACAGCCAAATGAGTGATTGAAACCCTGCATTTAGCCAGGTCCTGGTCCCCGGTCTCATTTGCAAAGTTAATGCGCATTGGTTCTTTTGTAAAAATCGGTGTAGAATCTGAACAGGGTTACTCTCTGTTCTTTTTGCACTCCTGTCTCCATTAACCTGTCTCCATTAACCTCTCTCTCCCCATTCCAACATGCACTGTTGCTACTTGTAAACCTAACTTAAGTGGATGTCCTTGAGTTTTAAGGTCAGGAGAGAAAGAACCAGGACCAAATCAAAGGGCTAAAAACCACTGATGAACTGGAACCCAAATTTTCTCAGCGGGATCCCTCATCTTTAAATAACTGATTGTTCCAAAAGTATTTTGGCAAAGGTCCCCCCGCCCCCACTCGCCACTGCTTAGATGGCAGCCCTCTCATGTGTACATCATGACCTGCAGAAGGTAAAGATATGGGGAAACCAGTTTGCCTGGTAGCGGCCATGCATCATTCTTCCTAATTCTAGGTGCCCATGGACCAACGGCCATTAGCTCAGCGCTGTAGAGAATGTACCCCAATTCATGCATGTAGGATTATCACATGTGAAAATCTACATACAGTTCACATGTACGCATTCTTGTGCATGCCTGTGTCTTAACAATTCCATCACGGGCAGCAATGTAGTTATTATCCTGGCCCAGAAGAGGGCAGCGCAGCTCCAGCACTTGAAAGAAATTTGGACTACAAGAGGCAGGCAAAAGCATTTACAAGGAGTGAAAGAGAGAGGATGGGAGCTTCTGCATGCCAGATTCCCTGTGGCAACTGTGCCAAACTTTGGAGTGAAGCAGGAAGCATCTCCTAGTGTTGGTGGTTTGTCACTCTCAACATATAAAATCTGAGTATTTGGCCAGGGTTCCAAGGGATGAGGCCACCGGGTCACAAGGAAGAACATGTGGACAATGCTGTTTGTGCTCCTGCATGTTCTTACAAGTCTTCTGTCTGCACGCCATACCCATCTACACACGGTTGAGCCACTAAAGATGATGACATAACCCACACTATGAGCGTACCATGATCAGAATGCTGGAAACAGCTTGAATGCCAAAGAGATAACTCAAGAAAGCAAGCCAAGCCACCAACTATAGGTCATATCACACCTAAGCACGATATGGTGAAGGAATTAGGAAACACGTATGATCAAGAAGTTTAAGAACAGGAAACATAAGGAATTAAGCGTGCAGGAAACACTTCCACCCTTGTCTTAAGTCTGCTTTATGCTCCTTGTGCAGCTTAGGTAGGTACTGGTAAAGGAAAGAGGGTGAATGAATCTATTTGCCAAATCTTTCCTTGGAGCACCTAGCCCTCCATGGGTTAATTCTTGGTAGAAAGAAGGTCTACCTGCCTGGAGAGAGTGGATTAGGACTCACACCCTGTCTGAAACTGAGTTCAGCTGCTAGCCCAAGACTGGGCTAGTTCCTTATCTGGCTGCCTGCCACTATTTACTGAGACGACACCAGAAGGCATCATGCCCCCAAGTGTGTTCCCTCAACCCTAGCCAATTGTACTGTGCTTGTGTTAGGTGGGAGTGGATCCCTCCCCCCCGGTCTCTTTGGGTATAACCCCTAGGAATGTTCAGTGATATGGGCTGATGTGGGAGATGGCGTTCTCTACTCCCACATCAGAATAGCAGTGAAAAGGTGTTCTGGTTCCCCACGTGAACCATGAGATCGCGTAATACAGGATCACTTAGGAGTACAGTGTCCCTTATATGTGAGTCGGTGGTAGTTGAAGAGGTTGATCTTGCATGCATGATTAAACTTGGCCAGATGAAGCTGCTCAAGTAGTTTGGTTGCAGAGTACTCCAGACGGGCATACAGTCCTTCATCACTCCAGAACTAGGGGATGGGGGTGGGGTGGGGTGGGTGGCTCCTGTGATTCTCCAGGAGTCTGTCTCATTTTGCAGATTCCTGATGCGAACAACCGCCAGCCTGGATTTTATGTCCCTCACAGTGGTTATCTATGTCAATCTGGGACAGTAACTTGGCCACAGGCTGAATTTGCAGAGGTAGCCTCCGGCCTGATGCTACTGTCCAATTGTGTTTGGGCATGTCACCACTGACAGACATACAGGTAGAGCAGGGGGAAGGCAAGCAGGTATACCCACAGAGGAAGGGCTAGTTGTATAGCTACAGCATTCCTGACCGAGCACCACCAATTCCTTGCAGCCACCTCCCAATGCTGATTTGTGCTAGCAAGCTACAAAATCCCAATTCATTCCTCCTCTACCCCCCCCCCCCCCACCTTCAGATCTATGAACAAATCTGACTCTCAGCCCATACTCAGGCATGTAGGTGTGACAATCCCCCCAGGCAGCCTTTTGATAACCCCTCAAATACCCCACTTTGATGATCCATCAGACATCTGACCAAACCAAATTCTTCTGGAGCGTAAATATCATATGGTACTTTTCAAACAGGCTGGGAAATGATGTCGTTCACACCCACTGCATTGTACAGCCAGACAATTATCAGCTTTTCCCATGGTGAAAATTAATTTGCTAGTTAATTCTAAATTTGTAATAGCAGCTGTTGTTGTTGCTGCTGCACCCACACCTACCAAGATACAGAGCACGGGAGCCAAATCAAAGGAACTGATTTTGTTGCTGTTCTTCTAGGGAACTGTTAACCAGTTCAGAATCTTAGCCAAAGGCTATAGCAATTAGCAAAGAATGCAATGACTATACACAAACAGAAGCATCCAAAGCAAAAATCATAATTAAGCCTTTAAAAATCCAGTAAGGACCAGAAAAATCTGGCATGACATTTAAGGCCATTAGGGGGAAAAATAAAAAAATGAAACGTTACATGCGGTATTATCCTGATATATAAGGCTACAATCCAATGAAAACGTACATACGTTCAACACCACTGAAAATCAATAGGCTTACATTCTTTTCTCTGTTCATCTCTGCCTTCACTTCCCTCCTCCTGAGGCACTCTCACCTGGGGGTGTGTGTGTCTATCTTTCTGTGCTCAGTTCTGCATAGGACTGTTGCCGCTATTTAAAAATAAACAGCAACAATGGCGTGCTGTCACAACTGACTCACGGCAACCCCACGACCATGGGGTTTTCAAGGCAAAGAGATGAGCATAGGTGGTTTGCCACTGCCTTCCTCTGCATAGCAACCCCGATTTTCCTTGGTGGTCCCCCATACAAATACTAACCATGGTTGACCCTGCTCAGCTTCTAAAAGCTCTGTGCTAGTCAGGGCTATTCCAGCTGCTCTCCACTGTTTACCAAAGGGCGGCGGGGGGGGGAGAGCTATTCAATTCCAGCAAAAAAGTCAAGGACTTCATATTACCCACCCACCATCAGCTCCTGGCTTTTGACTCAAACCTCATTGCTGGTGATACCCACATGAAGCTGCCTTATACTGATGGACCTTTGGTCCATCAAGGTCAGTATTGTCTACTCAGACTGGCAGCTCTTCTCCAAGGTCTCAGGCGGAGGTCTTTCACATCACCTACGGACTGTTCCTTTTCAATATGTTGTCGAAGGCTTTCACGGCTGGAGTTCATTCGCTGTTGCAGATTTTCCGGGCTGTATGGCCGTGGCCTTGGCATTGTAGGACCTGACGTTTTGCCAGTAGCTGTGACTGGCATCCTTAGAGGTATAACACAGAAAGATGGAGTACTCTCTGTGTCAAGGTGAGAAGAAAAATGGTAGGCAGGTACCCCACCTTCCTGGGTAGATACAAATTACCTGCCTACCATTTTTCTTCTCACCTTGACACAGAGAGTACTCCTCCCCATGCTTGCATTGAAACCTGGCCTGGTACCTCTGCAGCTCCTGACACTGAGCCCCTAGCTGGACTTCCACTCAAAGGTCCACAAATCTGGTCACTTCCGCAATCACCTCAAACACCACCACCCCTTCCTCTGGTGAGTGGCCATTCTCTAGCTTCACACTGTGCTTTAGAAGCAGCTCAGCATGGTGCAGTCAGATAAGAGCTTGCCTGACCCTAGCAGGTTTAGTGGAAGGTAGGATTGAGCTGCGGTGGCTCAAGTCGTTAAGACGCTGAACTGCAGGCTGTGGAAGGTCAGTAGTTCAGCAGTTCGAGACCTGAGTGTGCCCCATGATGGAGTGAGCTCCCGTCTCTAGTTCCAGCTCCTGCCAACCTAGCAGTTCGAAAGCAAGAAATTGCAAGTAGATAAATAGGTACCACTTCAGTGGGAAGGTAACAGAGTTCCGTGCGCCTTGGTGTTTAGTCATGCCGGCCACATGACCACGGAAACGTCTTCGGACAGCGCTGGCTCTTTGGCTTTGAAACGGAGATGAGCACCGCACCCCTAGAGTCGGACTCGACTGGCTTTCGAGCAAGGGAACCTTTACCTTTAGGATTGATCTCCAATGTCATGGTGCCCTTCAGGGGCATTCTGCAGTGCAAAGTCAGAGAGCAGACCCTTTAGCTCCCAAGTCCTCTGAGCATTCAGAGGCACTTGGGTCAGTGGTGATAGCAAATAAAGGAGCTGGTGTGGCAGATAACAGGAGAACATGCAGTGATTTGGGAAGTCACTTGTTCATACCTAATTTCAGCCAAAATTCACCAGGTGACCCTAGGAAAGCAGTTCTTAGCCTACCTTACAGTCTATTGGAAGGTTTGCTGCAATGTTGAAAATGAAGCACTTTGAACACTGGACTATTTTAACCACCCATCTTCATAATTTAGTATCTTACTGCTGCTCTGTATTCGCTTCGACTTGTTTCAATGTATTAAATGTCATTGGAAACGGCCTTAAAAGTCAGTTCGACTGAGAGACCGTCATATAAATATTTGAATAATTAAAAAGCCCGTCAAGGGGAGGGCAGGATATAAATCCAAATAAATAAATAAAAAATAAATGCGCGCACAAAAAGCTAAGTACAAGTGCACAAAGAGCTACGTACAAGCACGCATAGAAAGTAGAGTGCTGGACTAGTAACGGGGAGACCCGGGTTCCAATCCAGCCAAGAAGTTCACAGGACCCTGGGCCAATTGCTGCCTCTCAGCTTAATCTGCCTCACAGGGTCGTTGTGCAGATAAAACGGAGGAGAGGGCCGTCACACTTGCCACACTGAGGTTGTTGGTGCAAGGGTACAGTCACAATTTGACAGGCTGACAGAGCGTCTGGCTACTATGGTCACTGCATCTCCTTGCCCCAGACCTTTCTGGTGAAAGAAGGCAGGCCGACAGCTCTGCATCTCAGGAGGAAAAGGAAGAGGTTTTAACAAAACCCGTGTGAAGATATTAAACGGGCAGAGAGAGACAGACACGATATGGCACCGCTAACAACCGGGGATTACGCCCAGAGCCTTGTCAAAACACAGCTCGCTGGCAGCCGAGTCGTCCACTTAGTGAACAAACAAGGAGGAGCAGACGATTCAATATCATTATGCCGGTTCCATTCCAAAAACTAATTTTTTTCCCCTAAAAGGTACAACTCGCATCTCTCAAAAGCACTTACCGTATTAATGAGAGAGGCAAAGGCACATCGTAAAAAATCTCAACTGCTAGTTTTATGCCAGAAAGAGAGAGCGGGAGTCAAGCAGTTACTTGGGTTCCAGGAATCGCAGAGCCATTTCCCACACGGGGGTTATGAGTCAGATTATAAAGCACGGAAGAGCAAAGTGCCCCCCCCCCCCCCCCAACACATCCTTTGCCCTGGAGACCTACCCAGGTTACTGCAGAACTCCCCCACCATGCCATCCGGATTGGCCGTGGGAATCTGGGTGAGTCCAGTCAGGATGAGAACGTCGCTGTTTTTAAGAGAAGCCTGGTCCATGGGCTGAAAGGCAAGGGGTGGAAAAACAAGTTCCTTTAGATTAACAGGTTGGGCCCATCGCGGTTAAGAGATCACTGCCTCTCCTAGGTCTCTCCACTACAGCCACTTAAACAGACCTTACAGTGGCTTTGGATGGTAATAGCAGCCCATCCGGCTGACGGTTACACCAGGCAGGACTGCTTGGCATGTCCACTCCCTTCTTGAGGAACATCATCAGCAGTATGGCTAATGCTGACTTCAGTTAAAGTAGGCAGAGCTCAGGAAACAGTGCGGCATGGTAGTTAGAATGCAGGCAAGGAACTAGAGGAGCTGGGTTCAGATGAAGAGGAAAAGAGAACAGATTGGATTTATACCCTGCCCTTCACTACTTGAAGGCGTTTCAGAGCAGATTACAATCTTCTTTTCCTTCCCCTCCCCACAACAGACACCCTGTGAGGAAGGTGGGGCTGAGAGAGCTCTTTTGAGAACTGCTCTTTCCAGGATAGCTCTGAGAGAACTTGTGACTGACCCAAGGTCATGCCAACTGGCTGCATGTGGAGGAGTGGGGAATCAAACCCAGTTCTCCCAAATTAGAGTCTGCGCTCCTAACCACTATACCAAACTGGCTCCCTTCTCTGCAGTGAAGACAGGACCAGGCACTATATCTCATCCTAGACTATGTCACAATGTTGTTGTGAGGACAAAATGGGTGTGGGGGGCGGGGAGAACCATGTATACTTCTCTGAGTTCCCTGGAGGAAGGCTGGGATAAAAATCCCCAAACATCAACACATGAAGCTGCCTTATACTGAGTCAGTCCATTGGTTTATCAAGGTCAATGTTGTCCACTCTGGCTGGAATTGGCTCTCCAGAGTTGCAGGCAAAGGTCTTTCCCATCACCTACTTCCTGATCAATTCGACTGGAGACATTATGGATTGAAATAGGGACCCTCCACATGCAAAGCAGATGTTCCACCACTGAGCCATGACCCAGCCCCATGGAACTGGGCACCTGACGGACCTTTGGTCTGATTCAGCATGGCTCTTTTTATGTACCAGTGTTTGCACTAGAATTAATTATCATATGGCAGTGTGTAGTACAGCCCAGAGATCCTAAGATTGTCTGCCGGCCAGACGTTCTAGCTCTTTTAGAGTTATGCACCACTAGGTGGTGAGCTAGACTTGTTTTTAAGGCAAGAGATGTTTCAGAGGTGGTTTCCTTTGCCTGCCTCTGCGTCATGCCCCTGGTATTCCTTGGAGGTCATCCATCCAAATACTAGCCAGAGCTGACCCTGCTTAGCTTCCGAAATCTGATGAGATCAGGACAGCCTGGGCTATCCAGGTCAGGGCACTAGAGCAATTAGAAGACATGAAGCTGTTTTATGCTAAGGCAGATCATTGGTCTATCAAGATCAGAATTGTCTACTCTGACTGGCAGCATCTCATCAGGGTGTCAGGTAGAGGTCTTTCACATCAACTGCTGCCTGATCTTTTCTAACTAGGGATGCCAGGGACTGAAGCTCAGACCTTCCGTATGCAAAGCCTTATCACTTAGCCAAGACTATATTCAGCAGTATTCTGTCTCTGTACACTGAGATTTTACTTTGCTACCCTGTCTAGTAGCTGTTGACTGAGCTACCCTCAGTCACTTAATTTTTTTTTAAGGAGTTCTGTGTCATTCTCTGCTTCTATCCCAGCAGCAAACTTTTAACACAAGGCCAGGGTGAGGAGCCTGCGTGGCACAGAGGGCAGAAAAAGCCCCTTAAAGACGGTTTCACACCAAGAAGAAGAAAATGAAATGCTTCTCACATGAAAACGACCATTGGTTACTCACCGTGAGGGGTCCTTCTCCTCTGAGGCTTGGAGGACATCTTGTGGGTGATTCCCAACCATCTCTTAGGGAGGCAGGAACTTCAAACTGTTTCCTGTTTCCTGTGTTGGGAGTCACCCTCAGCTCAGTTTTGTGACTCCAAAAGCAATATGAGAAGCTAAATAGTGAGAAAAAACTCAAGCAACAGCATCAACAAACATAAACTGCAGAGGAACGTGTAAAACTCAGGTAACAGAAGAAACATATATACATCAGAAGAACCGAGAAGACGACCCGGGAGGGCCAAGATGTCCTCCAAGCCTCAGAGGAGAAGGACCCCTCACGGTGAGTAACCAATGGTCGTTCTCCCTCTGAGGTGGAGGCCATCTTGTGGGACCTCCCCGAGCAGTGTCCCTAAATTTGGGAGGGAGGGTCGTCATGAAGAGACAGGATAGATTGTAGCACCCGTCTCCCAAAGGCCGCATCGGCAGAGTCAAACACATTAATTTTGTAATGCCTAATAAAGGTCGACAAAGTGGACCAAGTAGCAGCCCTACAAACCTCCTCAACTGAGGCTCTGTTGCAAAACGCGGCGTTAGTCGCTGCGCTTCGAAGGGAATGGGCGGTGATCCCTACTGGCACCTTCTGGTTAAGACTCTTGTAAGCCTCCGCTATGCAAGACCGAATTGTGGTACTAATTGCTGAGTTAGACATCTTTGTGCCAGTGTGTGGTGGAGAAATGTTAACGAACAAAGTCTCTGTTTTCCTGAACGTGGCTGTTCTAATGAGATAACACTTGAGCGTTCTCCTGACGTCCAACGTGTGCCAGATCCTCTCCCTCGGGTGCGATGGATTAGGACAAAAGGACGGAAGGCAAATTTCTTGAGTTCTATGGAACTTCGAAGAAACTTTTGGACGGAAGGTGGGATCCGTCCTTAAAACCACCTTATCTTTATGAAAGACACACAAATCCTTTCGAATGGACAAGGCGCCCAGTTCCGAGATCCGTCTTGCAGAAGTGATGGCCACCAGAAATAAAGATTTCATGCGTAGAAATTTGAGTGGAATACTTCGAATTGGTTCAAAGGGGTGTTTGGTAAGTGCTGTAAGTACCGTGTTGAGTCTCCAGGTTGGAAACCTGTGAGCCTGTGGTGGATCTCTCGCGGTCGCGCCTCGGAGGAAACGTATGATATGAGGATGTCTAGACACTGGAAAACCTTGAGAGTGTGGAAGTACAGAGGCTAACGCTGCCATCTGCCGCTTGAGGGTGGATGCTTTAAGGCCACTATTCCTCCCATCCTGAAGGAAATCTAAAAGCGAAGCGATGGCTGGACGCAGGGGGTCGACCTTCTTGCGAAGAGCCCAGCGGACAAAAGCTTTCCAGGTAAAATTATATATTCGCGAAGTAGACGGTCTCCTGGATGCCATCATGGTATCAATCACTGACTCCGCATAACCTAACCTGGAAAACCTGGACCTCTCAACTTCCAGGCGGTCAAATGGAACCAGCCCGGATCCGGGTGACGAATCGGGCCCTGTAGCAACAGATCGTCTGATACCGGCAGAGTGATGGGAGGAGACACCGACATCTCCCTGAGTGCCGTAAACCACGGCCGACGTGGCCAATACGGAGCTATAAGTATCACCTCCGCCTGCAGGAGTCGTATTTTTTGAAGAAGTCTGGGTAAGACCGGTAGTGGAGGAAAGGCATATAGAAGTCCTTGAGGCCAAGGAGAAAGAAGAGCATCCGTCTCTTCCGCCATCGGGTGGAAATACCTGGTGTAGAAGCGTGGAAGTTTGGAGTTGATGTGAGAGGCAAACAGATCCACTTGCGGCATTCCCCACTCGGCCGTTATCACCTGGAAGGCCTTCTCGTGCAGCGACCATTCTCCTTCCTGCAGTACCTGGCGACTCAGCCAATCTGCTTGAAGATTGACTACTCCTTGTACATGCTCCGCCTTTAGAGATGTCAGATTGACTTCTGCCCAATTCAGAAGAAGAGTCGCCTCCCTGTGAAGAGAACGGGATTTCGATCCCCCCTGTTTGTTTATATAAGCCTTTGCGGCTATGTTGTCCGTACGAATTAAAATATGGAGATCTTTGATGAGAGGAGCAAACTGAAGAAGAGCTAGTCGTATGGCTCTCAACTCCAACAGGTTGATCGGCATGTGTTGTTCCACTTCCGACCAAGTCCCTTGTATCGGTATGTTGTGCAACGTGGCTCCCCAGCCCGTGAGGCTTGCGTCCGTAAATATTTGGGTTCTCTCCGGAATCCAGAAGGTCTTGCCTTGTGTAGTATTGCGGGACACTGTCCACCATTTCAAACTGGACTTCACTTGAAGTGGCACCTTCAGGGACAGATCCATCCTGGCAGCAACTGAGCGTTGGTATGGGCGTAGAAACATCTGTAGCTGTCTTGAATGAAGACATCCCCAATGCAGGGAGTCGAACGTTACCACCATCAACCCCATCATTTTCGTCAGAGAGGACAGTGATGATGTTCGCGCCTGTATGATTTGTTTGGCCAAATTCCGTATCTTTTCGGCTTTCCCCTGAGGAAGGAACAATTTTGTCTTCTTGGTGTCTATCACCATACCCAGGTGTTCCAAACGTTGGGTAGGCATTAAGGAACTTTTTTGGAAATTTATTAGAAAGCCGAAATGTTGAAGGCAACGTACCGTCGTTTCCACGTCCCTCAGCGCTTGCGGTCTCGATGGGGAGCGGACGAGCACGTCGTCGAGGTAGGGATGAATATGAATTCCTTGTTCTCGAAGACATACAATCACGTGGACGAGAATTTTGGTAAATACTCTGGGGGCTGATGCTAGGCCGAATGGAAGAGCCCGAAACTGAAAGTGGTCTTTTCCCACGGAAAAGCGGAGGAACTGGCGATGGCGAGGAAACATGGGGACATGAAGATATGCTTCCGTTAGATCTATAGAAGAAAGAAATTCTTGTGGTCTCAAAGATTCCGCGATGGAGCGCAGGGTTTCCATGCGGAAATGTTTTGGTTTTACAAATTTGTTTAAGAATTTCAAATCTAGAATAGATCTCCAGTCCCCGTTTTTCTTCGGGACTGTGAAAAAGATGGAGTATATCCCGTCCCCGCTCTCGGCCTGTGGAACCGGTTCTATTGCCTGTATACGAAGCAGATGAGCGATGGCCGCCTCCGTTCTTTGACGTTTTGAAGGATTTCTGTGGCTGGGAGACATCAG